AGGAGGGGCATTTTAGCATGTCATACTTTACCCCATCCATTCAATCAGTTGCCAAATACTGCCAACTCTAGTTCTAAAATATCTTCTATTTGCTATGTCTCTAATTTAGTCACTCATCAAAACTATCTGATATTTGTAACTCCTAAGGATTTCCTTGTCAGGGGAAAATTAATTGACTGCAGGTCATACTGTAGGAAATGTTAAAGGAAATTCTTCAGGCAGAAGAAAAATGACACCTGAAGGAAATTCGTATTTTCACAGAGAAATAAAGATTCAACATTCAAAGCAATCCCTATCAAAATACCATCCACTTTTTTCACAGAGCTGGAACAAACAACCCTAAAATTTGTATGGAAACAGAAAAGACCCCGAATAGCCAAAGGAATGTTGAAAAAGAAAAGCAAAGCTGGAGGCATCACAATTCTGGATTCAAGCTATATTACAGAGTTGTAATCATCAAGACAGTGTGGTACTGGCACAAAAACAGACACATAGATCAACACAACAGAATAGAGAACCCAGAAATGTACCCTCATCTCTATGGTCAACAAATCTTTTTTTTTTTTTTTAAAGATTTTATTTATTTATTTGACAGAGAGAGACACAGCGAGAGAGGGAACACAAGCAGGGGGAGGGGGAGAGGGAGAAGCAGGCTTCCCGCGGAGCAGGGAGCCCGATGCGGGGCTCGATCCCAGGACCCTGAGATCATGACCTGAGCCGAAGGCAGACGCTTAACGACTGAGCCACCCAGGCGCCCTATGGTCAACTAATCTTCAACAAAGCAGGAAAGAACATCCAATGGGAAAAAGACAGTCTCTTCAACAAATGATGTTGGGAAAATTGGACAGCCACATGCAGAACAGTGAACCTGGACCATTTCCTTACACCACACACAAAATAAACTCAAAATGGATGAAAGACCTATATGTGAGACAGGAATCCATCAGAATCCTAGAGGGGAATTCAGGCAGCACCCTCTTTGACCTTGGCCACAGCAACTTCTTGCTAGACACATCTTCAAAGGCAAGGGAAACAAAAGCAAAAATGAACTATTGGAACTTCATTAATATAAAAAGCTTTTGCACAGCAAAGGAAAGAGTCCACAAAACTAAAAGGCAACCTACAAAATGGGAGAAAGTATTTGCAAATGTCTTATCAGATAAAGGGCTAGCATCCAAAATCTATAAAGAACTTATCAAACTCAACACCTCAAAACCAAAAAATCTGGTCAAGAAATGGGCAAAAGACATGAACAGATATTTCTCCAACGAAGACATATAAATGGCCAACAGACACATGAAAAAATGCTCAACATCACTTGGCATCATCACAACCATGATGAGATACCACTTCACACCAGTCAGAAGGGCTAAAATTAACAACTCAGGAAGCAACAGATGTTGGTGAGGATGGGAGAAAGGGGAACCCTCTTACACTGTTGGTGGGAATGCAAGCTGGTACAGCCACTCTGGAAAACAGTATGGAGGTTCCTCAAAAAGTTAAAAATAGAGCGACCCTATGACCTAACAATTGCACTACTAGGTATTTATCCAAAGGATACATAGTGATTTGAAGGGGCACATATACCACAATGTTTATAGCAGCAGTGTGCACAACTGCCAAACTATGGAAAGAGCCCAGATGTCCATTGACAGATGAAGGGATAAAGAAGATGTAGTCTGTATATACAATGAATGTCTCAGCCAGCAAAAAAGCATTGTCATTTGCAATGATGTGGATGGAACTAGAGGGTATTATGCTAAGTGAAATAAGTCAGTCAGAGAAAGACAAATCCCATATGATTTCACTCATATATGGAATTTAAGAACATAGGGGAAGGGAAGGAAAAATAAAATAAGAGGAAATCAGAGAGGGAGACAAACCATGAGAGACTCTTAACTATGGGGAACAAGTGAGGGTTGCTGGAGGGGAGGTGGGTGGGGGGATGAGGTAACTGGGTGATAGGCATTAGGAAGGGCACATGAAGTAATGAGCATTGGGTGCTGTATGCAACTGATAAATCACTGATTTCTACCTCAGAAACTAATAATTCAGTATATGTTAATTAAATTCAATTTAAATAAAAAAATAATAATAGCACAGAAAAAGGAAGATTGAAAAAAAGGATACTACTGCAATGCTCTTATACTATATACTATATAGTTTAATATTATTTGCAGGTAGACTGTGATAAGTTAGAGACTCATCTGATAAAACAAAGCAGAATTTCTCCAACTTCTTGATCTTACAAAGCCTTGTAGTCTTAAAATTACTGAGGACTCTAAAGAACTTATTTGTATGGATTTTAGCTATCAGTTTTTATCACATTATAAATTAATTTTTAAATCTTTGCTTAAAATAGTAATAACAGTCTCATGTTAATAAATATATAACATATTTTATGAAAAATTACTGTATCTAACAAAGCAAAAAAGAGTGAAAAGCATGTCATTACTTCACATTTTGCAAACTTCCTTAATGTTGGCCTAAGAAGAGACAGATTCTCAAATCTCCTTCACCTTTAATCTGTTGTAACATGACATGGCATATATCTTCTCAGAAACCCCATGGTACGTTTGTCAAATAAAGAGAGGGAAAATGCAAATGACTCAGTATTACTGTGAAAATAATTTTGACTTCATGGTCTTTTTAAAAGGCTCAAAGACCCACATGAGCCTCTGCCCAAGAGAAAAAAGTAAAGAAAAAAACCAAAGAGGTATAGCAATGAGAAACAAGTGAAACAAATGTAATCCTAAAAATCACTTAATGCAAAAATTTAAAAAAAGGGGGGAAAAGGAAAACAGGAATGAGTAAAGATGGCACAAATAGAAAATAAATAGCAACATGATATATAAAAAACATAATGGTAATTACATTAAATGTACATGGATAAAACATTAATAGGATAGAGTTGTTAGATTTTATAAAAATTCAAGGCTCAGCTATCTGCTATCTAAAAGCAACTCACACTAAATACGTAGATATTTAAGTTACAAGTTAAAAAAATGGAATAAGATAAACCATGCAAAAGCACTAGTTACAAGAAAAATAAAATGGCTATTTTAAGGTCAGATAAAATAGACTTCAGAACAAAGAGTATTACTTATTACCTATCAACTTTTTGCTTATCAGTTGAGATACAGTTGATCCTCAGTATGTGTGGATTCCATATTGTGAATCTGACACTGGCTAAAATTTATTTATAACCTCAAAATCAATATTCCCTATACTTCTATGGTCACTTGTGGACATGTGCAGGACTGGGAATAATTTTAATCTTCTGCCATGCACATTCCTAGCTGACGTTGAACAAAGTAATGCTTTTCCTTTGTTTTTCAGCTCTCATACACCAGAGTAAAGAGGTAGTAGAGGGCAATGTGGTATAGTACAAGAAGCCCAATCTCTGGGGCCAGAGGGATAAGGTTTAAATTTCAACTCTGACACCTGTTGGTGGCATGGCCTCATGCAAATCACTTAAGACTTTTGAACCATATTTTCTGTTATGTAGAAAAGAAAGTAGAGTCTACCAGGACATGTTTTTAGGATTTAATCGATGTCATATATGCACATATATGTGTATATTTTCCCTAGGAGCAATGAATGGTTCAGTATCCACTAATTCAGTGTTCGCAGTGACATTACAGAACATAACTACCATGAATAATAAGAACTGACTGTACATTTATTTATTTATTTATTTATTTTTAAAAGATTTTATTTATTTGAGAGAGAGAGAATGAGAGAGAAAGAACACATGAGAGGGGATAGGGTCAGAGGGCGAAGCAGACTCCCTGCCAAGCAGGGAGCCCGATGCGGGGACTCGATCCAGGGACTCCAGGATCATGACCTGAGCTGAAGGCAGTCGCTCAACCAACTGAGCCACCCAGGCACCCCCTGACTGTACATTTAAAAGGGTCAACTCTTCAAGAAGAAATACAAACCCCAATGTCTATGCAACTAAAATAAGAACTTCAAAATTCAAGAAAAAAACCCCTGACAGACATGTAAGGAGATATAAATAAATTCATAATAAGAGCTAGAAATTTCAAAACCCCTACTTCAGTAATTCATAGAACAAGTAGACACAAAATAAGTATGAATCTAATTGACATCTTAATGCACTCCACTCAGCAACTAGAGGATACATATTCTTTCCAAACACACATGAAACACTCTTCAAGATACACTTGTGTGCTGGTCCATAAACAATTCTCAATAAATTTAAAAGGATTATAACTGTAAGAAGTATGTTCTATGACCATAATGAATTAAATTAGTAATCAGTAACAAAATGCACCTGGAATATCCCTTATATGTATGCATATTAATGTATAAGGATATTATTCTAAAATACACTTCTAAAATGCATGGGCAGTTAAAAAAATATCAAGGAAAATTGGCAATTATTTTCAGCTGGTTGAAAATGAAAATACACCTTATCAAAATCTGTAGGGTAAATCTAAAACAGTGCTTAGAGGAAATTTATAGCTTTAGGTATTTATATCAGAAAAAGAAGAAATATGTAAAATCAATGATCTAAACTTCCACTTTAAAATCTAGAAAAACAGGGCACCTGGGTGGCTCAGTTGGTTGGGACTCTGCCTTCTGCTCAGGCCATGATCCCAGCATCTGGGATGGAGCCCCCCAGGTCAGGGCTCCTTGCTCAGCGGGGAGTCTGTTTCTCCCTCCCCCTGCTATTGTGCGCTCTCTCTCTCTCTCTTTCTCCTTCTCAAATAAATAAAATCTTAAAAAAAAAAAAAAAGCTAGAAAAAGAGCAAATTAAACTCAAAGTAAGTAGAGGGAAAGAGTAAAATAGGAACGGAAATCAAGGAAATAGAAAGAAGAAAACTGAAGAAAAACAAGAAAATCAGTTGTCGATAAGAAATTTCCTCACAGGGCTTTCCCGTGTGTCGGCACCTTCTGTGGAACCTCCGCCTCCCCCGCTGCACCGCCGGCTTCCTCCTCTTCAGGCTGCAGTCAACCCACACGCCCGCCGGCTCCGTAAGGGCGACCCGCAGCCCCAGCGTCGTGATCAGTGATGATGAACCAGGTTATGACCTAGATTTATTTATTCTGTATACCTCATCATTATGCTGAAGATTTGGAAAAGGTGTTTATTCCTCATGGACTGATAATGGACAGGACCGAGGGGCTTGCTCAAGATGTGATGAAGGAGATGGGAGGCCATCACATCGTAGCCCTCTGTGTGCTCAAGGGAGGCTATAAATTCTTTGCTGATCTGCTGGATTATATCAACGCACTGAACAGAAATAGTGATGGATCCATTCCCATGACTGTAGATTTCATCAGACTGAAGAACTACAGAATGGACCGGTCAACAGGGGACATTAATGTAATTGGTGGAGATGATCTCTCAACTTTGACTGGAAAGAATGTCTTGATTGTTGAGGATATAATTGACATTGGCAAAACAATGCAAACCTTGCTTTCCTTGGTCAAGGAGCATAATCCAAAGATGGTCAAAGTCGAAAGCTTGCTGGTGAAGAGGACCCCTCGAAGTGTTGGCTATAAACCAGACTTTGTTGGATTTGAAATTCCAGACAAGTTTGTTGTAGGATTTGCCCTTGACTATAATGAATACTTCAGGGATTTGAATCATGTTTATGTCATTAGTGAAACTGCAAAAGCAAAATACAAAGCCTAAGATGAGAATTCAAGTTGAGTTTGGAAGCATCTGGAGTCCCATTAGAATCATCAGTAGAATGTTCTAGTTCTGTGGCCAGCTGCTTAGTAAAGCTTTATTGCGTGTATCCTCTCAGAATTTTATCCATTTTATATTTTAGAAATGCCCGTTGCTGCATTCCTGAAGTCTTTATTTGCAATATGAGACTATAGACTATCTGTTCTTTTAGCGTGGAGTGTTGGACTTGTGAATGAAAAAAATCTCTTAAACCACACCACTATTGAATGAAAATATTGAAATTGTATCTGTAAAAAAACATTTAAAGAGAAGATATATTAGTTTCTTAATTGGTATTTTAATTTTTATGTATTCAGGAAAGAACAGAACTGATTTAATATTGTTAATTATATACCACTGTGTGTTTAGAAGAGTAAGGAGCGGGCGCCTGGGTGACTCAGATGGTTAAGCGTCTGCCTTCGGCTCAGGTCATGATCTCAGGGTCCTGGGATCGAGTCCCGCATCGGGCTTCCTGCTCCTTGGGAGCCTGCTTCTCCCTCTGCCTCTCTGTCTCTGTCTCTGTCTCTCATGAATAAATAAATAAAATCTTTAAAAAAAAAAAAAAAAAAGAGTAAGGAGCAGTCAGTTTTCATATCAGTGACAGCATCTACAGTATTGTTCTGTTGGAGAAACCACATGTCTTGGAATTATCTTACTGTTTTGGGAGTATTAACTGTTTTCTCGCGCTTATTCCAATGATTTCTGGTGAATCTGTGTCAACAGTTCCTTTTAAATACAAATCAATAAATTCCAAAAAAACGTTACCACATTTTGAATTCTTCAGTGTAAAAATCCTTACAATAAAGTCTGTCTCTTTAAAAGAAAAAAAAAATTTCCTCACAAAATCAAATTTTTTCATATTCAAATATTTTCTTCATCTTTGCCAGTATTTGCTCAATCTTCAAGGGTGGTGGTGGTGGTGGGGAGTGATGCTCAAATAATCAAACCCCACATAATGGATGAAATGACTCTTTGTTTTTAATTCTTTGCAGAACTTAATGATTATATCCAAATCTGTTTTGATCACCACTGAGTGAAAAGAGGCTAGGATTAGGAGTTTTACTGGAATCTTATCGTTGTTCTGTTACTCATTAAGTATACAACCTTGGATAAGTTATTTAATATTTTTGCACATCATTGTCTTCAAATGACAAATGACAAGAATATTTTATACTCTGCATCTCAAAAGAAAGTGCAAAGATGAAGAGGTAATAAGTTAGAAAAGCATTTAGAAAACTACATTAAATGTGGTCACAGGAAGACTAACAATCAAATAATACTGCTTCACAATCTTAGTAGAATTTTGCTGAGTATGAAAAGGAAATTTAAGAGATTTAAAATATCCCTAAACTTATAATGAGATTTTTTATTCTCCGGGCCCCTTTCTTAGTCTATGTTTGACCTACCTACCATTTATCTTCCCGAATCTTTTTTCTGGTTTCTCTTGAGGCCAGAGTTCTAGCTGTGTTAAATTGTGTGATAATTCTGTACTACATATAATTCTCCTGAGGAAGCAAAGCCAAATGCAGACTCCATGACTGGTTTGGGAAAGAGAAAGCTCAAACGTGCAAATTCCTATCAGCCCCTTGAGGTTATTCTTATCACTATCCTATTGACACTATTGACAAAGATCTTTAAGCAGGAAATAATGGCCCTGTGATGAAAACCAGTACATTTACAAACCAAATATGGTGAATGATAATTATTATCAGTTGGGGGTCCCTAGGCAATAGCTCAGAGCTGAAAAGTTTTTGGTCTTCATAACCAAGGATGACTCTAAAATGGGAGATATTCGTTAAGCCTTGACAAGTAACCATAACAACCCATTGTATGGATCCATCTCCATTTCAGATAAGACATTATTTTTTAGAACAAACGGAAATGAGAATGATAATTGTTTTAGTGACAGAAAGTACGTGTGTGTATGTGTGTCGAGAGATTTATGGTATAAAGTAATTGCTATAAAAATAATTTTCAAATCTGAGAAGCCCCATGCATGCACAAATATGGTTGCTCTTTCTCCTATTTGTATTTGTCTTAAATATAGTATTTCTTCTTTTTTTAAAACTATGGTGTTTCCAAGTCACAAAAGAAAAGCTTAAATCTCTTTTAATTTTTTTTTTAAGTAAATGAAGACATGTCTTGTCTGTGAAGATGCTCCCTGACCAATTTCAATACTTTAATGAATAATAGATAAATTTCATTTCCTCTTGATCCTCTTTCTACATGGCAGCCAAAATGATCTTGCAAAAATCCAAAACTAATCATGTCACTTCTTAATTAAAATACTTGAACAGGCCTCCATTGTCCTCCAGATAATGTCCAAATTATTATATATTTTTGAACAGCTTTACACCAGCCCCTGCTTATCTTTCAAACTTTGTTTCTCTACACTATGTTTTATAATGCACCCCTTTGCTGCACTGCTCTCTCCAACACACACAACCAAGTACTCTGGGTTCTAATCAAACCAGCTCGCTTGCAAACCCCTAAAAGGACCATGCTCTCCCCCTATACCTGAGAAGGGTTAATTTATTCTTAATCTTGTCCTTACCCTCTCATACTTTTAAAATAGGTATCAGCTAGCTTCTTAAGGTCATTGTCACTTTATATCCCCAGCACTTAACCCAGTCTGGCAATAAGGCATTGCTCAATAAATACTGGAAAGAGGGTCTATGAAGGAGAGCTGGAAGATATGGAGAAAGGAAAGGAGGGAGGAAGAAAGATACCGGGGAGCTCAAGAGCCTTAATCTGCTTTGTTGCTGAGTCACCACTCCTCTCTGTTTTCATTAGTTTCTGCTGATTCTCAGTTGTGGAGGAAGTAATTGGCCTCTGGCTATTTCCCATGCTCTAGGGCTTCCTCATCTCTGCTCCTGCCCTTTACTTGAACTATCTACTCTCTAAATCAGTATTTGTCCTTCACTGCCTCATTCATCCCAGGTGTTCTCAAATATGATTTCCACTGAAACAAACATTTTTGGTCTCAAGGTCCCTAAACATTAAAAAGTTTCCTTTTTTTTATTAAAGACTGGGATCTCTTTGGTGGCCTCACCACAAAAATACAACACAATGAAGGAAGAATAGCCTTGTACAATCCAAGAAAGGTTGTGTAGCCAAAGATAAAATCAGAATTTAATTGTGGCCAAGTAGCACACAATCTGGGAGAACCAATCTCTTAATTCAATCTGTCTCTATCTCTTTACATCTATTTAATTAGACATCTCCAATGTGGAATAAATGACAGCATTAAATGTAGCAGGGTACCCTAGAAAGATTAGACTTGTTTTGTTATTGCCTTTTACTTTGTTACTGAGAGAAATTGCTATTCACATCATAGTATAGGCAGAGACTGGAGTTCATCATGTAAGGTGGCCTTTCTTACAAGAGAAGTTGCTGAATGAGGAGCCTCTAAAGGGAGAGAGATATAATCCTCTAACGAAAAAAGAAGAAAAGAGAGAGGGACTTTCTAGGAGTATACATGCACCAAAAGACCCCAGAATCATTCTTATTTCAATATATCTGTTTTGTGCCTCTCTACAGCTGGCTGGAAAATTGACTAAATCTGCTGACCTGGATTTACAGACACAAATATTCAATATGACCCTGAAGATCTACACTGGCAAGGTTCTGATTATGCCACTCTCTTCTGAACCCAAACTCCTAGTATATAAACTCATAAATGTAACAACACTCCCTTAACTTTACATATCCTGTGGATTTATTTAAATCAGTTGAATTGTAGAAGAAAAACACATGTTATTTTATGCTGATTCTTTTGGGGAGGCATGAACTGCTGGTGAAAACAGCTGTGGTAAAAAGGCAGAATGCTTCACTTCTTACTAAGTCAAGGTTGAACGGTGGTAAATGTAACCTGTTATTATAGTCATCATTAAACAACTCTTCTATAGAGTGCCAAGATAGAAGACATATACCCAGCATTGCTAAGCTAAATAAGAAATTAGCACAGCAGCACCAATAAATAACAGCAAGAAACTGTAACTATTTGGATACCTGCTGGAAGTCTGCTTTATGAAAGCAGAGCATTTGACAAGTTATTAGGTATAAAAGATGACTCAAGTCACAGAGGTGAGAAGAGAGCCATAGGTAGACAGAATAAAGGGGGTTCCTGCTTAATGTAATTGAAGTCATGTAAAATGGAGTCAACTTCTCTCTTGTGAACTTCATCCAAATTCTATTATCACAACTTAGGACAGTATAAATCTCCTATTTTCTATTCATGAATTTACTTCACCAGTTTCCTTGTCTCTGCTCCTACCATCTTGTTTCAGTATCCATTAAAAAAAAAAAAAAGTGACTAAGTCATGCATCTTGTGACTTCAATTAAATTTACTAAAGATTTGGAGATTAGAGAAGAGGTGTTAGGTCATGCTTCGCATGGCTTCCCATCTTTTCACTGATTCTCTTCTCAGCCTTCCTACACAGAATCCTGAGAAGTGTAGTCTGGTCCCCTGAAACCACTAACTGGGCAGAAATCTGGCCCTGAGCACTTTCCTTACCGCAGCCTCTGGGAAACATAAAGAATACATTTTCTCTACCTGTAATGTAAACTACCCAGTAGACTAAATAAGACAACTCCTATCTCCTTCATCTTATAAAATGAATTAATTTCATACTTCATTTGTGCTTTCATAGTCTGTTATAAAATATTGAAACTATTACATGAGTAGAACACTTGCATGTAAAAAAATATTGAAATGAACTATATCTACATACACACATATAAGGGCAAATCAGAGATCTCCTTAAATAGTTTGAGTCCCTTTGTGACCATGTTCAGCCTCAAAATAAATATGATATACAATATTTATCTTAACATTATCATTAATATTAATTATCATAATATTGATCTTTAAAAACATAATATTTTTAAAGATTTATTTATTTATGACAGAGAGAGAGCGAGAGTGTGAGTGCAGGGAGGGGCAGAGGGAGAGAGAGAGAGAGAGAAACTCCAGGAGACTCCTCTCTGAGCTTGGAGCCTGACACCGGGTTCCATCTCAAGACCCTCAGATCATGACCTGA